ATTTTTTATTTTTATTGTACATTAATATATTGAAATTATTTACCTTAGCGCACATACATATCTATAACTTGTTAACGGCTTAGAAATTTATAATATTTGTTCATCTTAGATTAGATTTGAAGATGCTTATTTCATTATTTTCCCATAATAAGTGCAAATAATATATATATGAAATTAACAATGAAATATTTTGTGAGTGAGCTGGGTGTCGGGCAGCGTTTTAGATCGGCATCAGTGCACGTGTGCTTATTTTCCTGTTCCTATTGTTGGTCGTACATTTGGACAAATAACCACTTGTTTCAATTATTTAAAATGGAAGTTAAAGCCATAAGATTCCAAACACCGTCGTTTTAACTGTAGCTTTCAAACCCCACTCTGCCATTTCACATTTTAGGAGCTGAAAAATGGAAAGGAAACTGACATTACTTTTTCGCACTGTAGATATTTGGACTTCGGACAAAGATCTCTTCTTTTAAGACACTAGTAAAGCGATGCGTTTATGATTATTTCAAAATATATTTATTCAATTAAAATTATATTAATTAAAATTGAATATTTTATTATACTTTTGGATAAGATTCTTAGGAAATTATTAGATCGATTAAAGCTCTTGAAATATTTTGTTATTGAACAAAGTTAATGGATGATAATTATATTTTTATCAATTAATTTATGAATTTTTTCAATCAAGAGAGACAATATAATTTCAATGACGGAACCTAGTGAGGGTTAGTGGGGGCCATGGCCCCCACCCCAAATATCAATTTAATAATAATAATAATATATATATATATATGGAAGAGTCTACAATATTTGTCGTATAAAATAAATTTTATATTTTTTAGTATTTACATAATAAAGAAAAATTTGTCTGTGATATATTTTGATACATCACTTTAGTGATACGTTGCGATATACGCCAAACGTTGTAGACTCTTCCATATATATAATTATTATATATTATTAAATGATTAAATTTGGCCTCTTCAAGAATATGTATAATGAACAATTAAATTTCGTTGTAAAAAATAATTAAATTTGTTATTCAAAAAATTGTATAAATTAATTTAGAATTTGAAAATTAATTAAATATAATTTATGAAAAAGAGTCAATATCTATTTTTCTTATTTTTATGTTTAAATGAATAAAAATCTTTTTATTTGTTATTTTTATTTTAAAGATACAAAGAATTTCTGTTTTTTTGTATGTTTGATTGTTCATCTTCTTTGGTACGGTCATATTCTTTAAATTGATGACTTCAATCAAATTATCAAGCATTTTATTTGAGTTAAAGTAATTTTTAAAAAATATTTTCCAATTTAATTTATATTTATGATTTTATTACAAATATTTATGTTTAATATGTGAATACATGAATTTTTATCTTTGAAAATAAAAAATTAGATATATATATATATATGAAAGTGCCTCAAAATATCTTATTATATAAATATAAATATAGATTTTAAAAGTTATTAATTAAATTTATATATATGTGAATTTATTATTAAATCAATAGATTTTATAGTTAAATGTTACATGTTTGATATTATGGACAAACAAAAAAAATATTAGATGAATTTCATTTTTTTTATTTTTTGTGAGAACAAATGAATTTTAAGGATTTATAAAGTTTTCTTTTATTAATATAATATTTTGATATATAATTTACATTCATAAAAGTTTAAAAAAATATTTTAGTTAACATATAAAAAAATTAAATGCCCCTAACAGTATTGTTGAGTTTCGCCACTAAATACATTATACATTATAACTTTATAAAAGATTTATTAAAAATTATCAAATCTCCATCAATAAAGATTTTCTGAAGATTCTATCATATGAGCAAAGCATGGGCAGAGCTAGAAGATTTGTTTTGAGGTGTCAAATTTATAAATTATAAGGAAAAAAATTTGAGTGAGAAATTGAGTAAAATTTTAGGCTTGTAAACGAACCAAAAGAATACGAGGTAGTTCTTGTTCGTTCATTTAACTTTAATCAAACAAATGAATGAATACGAACAACTAAACGAATGAATTTTTTTGTTAATTTATTAAGAAATGTAGTTTGTTTCTGTTCATTCGTTAAAATGAAAAACGAACGAAACGAGCGTAAACAAACACAAAGAAACGTAAATGAACAAAATTATTGAATTTATATTTGAGAAGAATTTTTTCTTATTAAATAATTTTAGGATTCATATTTTCTTTAATGATTTGAGTACTTTCTATTTGAGTTTATAATTAATTGGATTTTAAAAATATTGATGGGTTTAAGGTTAAAATTTATTAAGTATTAATATTTTAAACATGTCTAGAGAGTAGATTGAATATAAACAAAAGAACATAAATGAACAGATTGTTGAACGTTCACAAAAATAAATGAATGAACAAATTCTATTCGTGTTCGTTCATTTAATTAAACGAACATAAAATCTTGTTCATGTTAGTTCATTTAATAAATAAACGAATATAAATAAACTTCCCATCAAATAATTCACGAATAGTTCACTGAACGTTCAATTGTTTACATACTGTGAAATTTTTATTGTTAAATATATTTTGAAATGTAGGATCAAATTTTTTTAATGGGTGTCAATTTTTTTAAAAGTGATGTCATATCTTTAATTTTATTATATATAATATATAGGAGAAAAGTCTTAGGGGTCAGAAACACCACACAATTTTACAAATCATCGATATTATTTTTTGGAGTACATATACTTTATAGATTTACTAATATATAATTATCCTATGTATGACACCATCACTTATATTTTTATTATCTTATCATTCACAACGTTTTCAATAATGGACGAAATTATAATATTTCTATCAATACACCTATTAATATATATTTCATATTTTCTATTTCTTACGATATATATATATATATATATAGATTTTTCTTAATATTTTATTATAGAAAACTTAGAAATATATCATACAAATTCTTGAAATATGAGAATTAAAATACTTATAATTTTTCAAAATAAAAAATCATATCGTACTAATCAAACTATATCAGTAGTTAAAATAATGATGGTTATTTCTAGAGATTTTAAATTCAAATACCATAAATTATAAAATATTAAATATTCATCATTAAATAATTCAAAATCTTTAAAACAAATACTATCACATAAAAACAAATTAAATTAACACAAAAAAGAAATCTTACATCAAAACCATAGCACCCGTTTAGCTTTTAAGAGACACAAGACAACAAGGTATGTGAATATTTCCAATAAATAAAGTTTTTTTTTAAATATCAACAAAGAATTATTAATTAATAAAAATGAATTATATTTTTAAAATTTTCATATTCAAAAAGTAAGTCGTTGATGAATGAAGTTGAGTTCCAATAATATTACTATTTGAATAAAATAATAATAAGTTTATTTTATTGTCTGCTTAGTTGAATTTTGAGGAAATGTGGAAAAATTATGAGAAAGGGGACACTTGATGTGGGGTCCAATATGGTCCGTACAGAAGATGGAAGGGATGGTTTGGACTTTATCTGTTCAGTGTTTTATATTGTATCCAAACTTCAAGAATTGATGATATGGTTTGGTAAAATACATATACTATATAACTATATATATATATATATATTAAAAATAACCTATTAAAGAGTTATTTCCTCCACCGGTATATTATTTTTATCATTGCAAATTGAAGGAGGGATGGTGATAGAAGACCACAATCCACAATGTCGTAACCGTTTTTTCGGTTCAAACGATCGTTTAATTATTTTTAAAAATAGTATTTAAATTTTGAAAAATAGGTAATTTTGGATTAATTTGAAATAATTTGGATAGAGTCACCATTAACCTTTGGACTAGGTAGGTTGAATACCTAAAAATGTCTTTTAAAAACAATTTTATGAAAAAGCATTTTTTAAGGCAAAAATTGGTCTGCATTTTTCAAAGATTCGATTAAAACGGGTTCATGAGTCGGTTACGTGTGGGGAAGGATTAGCACCCCCACAGCGCCCAAAATTGGTACTGTGTGGCTTACACGTTGACGTAATGGTGAAAATCATGAATCAAATATCAAGTTAAAATATGATTTGTTTATTGAAATTTAATTAATTTACTTCATATTAATAACTTAAAGAAAATAAATAAAATAAAATAAGTAGTTAAACTTATAAGAACCAAAATAATTAGAACAAAAACTTAAAGGGTTAATAAACCAAAAAGAAAAATTACAAACATTAAATAACACATGTACTAAAATGAAAATAATCCAAAAATGAAATTTAGAACTAAAGTGCAACAAATCAAAAACTTGAAGGCTAAATCACAATTAAACCAAATTAAAACAAGGACTAAAATGATATATTTACAAACATCATAGCCAAATTCGAATAATATCAAAAATACACAAATACATTAAATCAATGACTAATATGTAATATTTATAAATATTATGTACAAAATCAAATATTAGTATAACATATAATAATGTCGAGTTATGCACATGAAGATAACATACAATATTAATTAAAAGATGCCTTGTACCTAATTTATAAATCAAAATGAATAAAACTATATATGTAATTTATAAACAATAAAAAACTAATAATAACAAAATATCATACAAAAGAAATAAACATTAAATATATACATGCGTAAATAAAATAAAATATATACATATGATTTAATTTAAACATATTATTATTATTATATCATTCAATAACACATAAATTTGACTAGGTTTAATGCAATATTTTATATTTTAAACGTGTACAAACAATAGTAATTAACTTTGGGCACTAACTAACAAAGATAAATGAATTTGGAGCCATACACGTGGTAAGCAAATAAATCTAAGGTTAAAACCATAAATTAAAAAAAAAACAAAAGTTATAAAACACTAAATAGAGTGGCCACCCACGTGGGTTTGATTAACCCCCAATTTTAGCCTTAGAATATTAAACAATTATTGTCATATTACTAACCCAATTTTAACCCATTTTATTTTTCTTACGCCTGGTTCCTTCTCTGTTGCTCTCAACCCCTTCCTTTTCCTTGGACTCTTTCTTTCTCCAAACCGATTACCATGCACTAGTAAGGTAAGCTAAACTAAACTTAATACTTAGTAAATCGTTCTCTTATTTTCTTTTCAAACTGGAAGCTCCAAGGTCCTTCACACCATGTACTTACCGACGTTATTCTCTCTTCACAGTCACCAAAACGACCGAGCAAGCCTAGACCTAACCAAGAGACCTCTTCTATTCTAATGGTCTTGATTCCAACGAGGACACCCATAACATAGTAACCCTGAAACCCTCTCAATCGACCTCTAAATGACCAAAACCAGTCCCTAAACCTCTCGAAGCCAAACCACAACTGCTCGTCTCACGATCAAGGTAAGTTCTCTCTATCTCGCTCTTTTCCGTTTCGAAAAAAAATTATTTACCAAGACTAACATCAATTCTTCTTCTTAGAACCTGAACAGTAATGGAGTCAATGAGACTTCACTGGAACTCGCACAATTCAGGTAAATTAACCCAAATCCCTCTTTTTTATTATTATCTTATATCGACCTACTTATTTTTCTTATGATCAAACATGCATTGATTCCTTTGGATTAATTACTTTAATAAATAACAGATTGTTCTACTGCTAATTTGGGTTTGAAAATAAAAAAACAAATAAAGCAACAAATTGAAAACAAAACTAGTAATACCTCAAAATGCTTTTATTGCTTTCGAATGGAGGGATGGAATATTTCCCCTGTTTACAATTGTTTTCTTTTCGAAGAAAAATAAACCCCCTATCTGTTACCAGTATTTTGAATATGATCAAGATTTTTCCTCCAATCTGAGCTTTTTTTTCCTCTGTTTGTATTTGTGATATTTTTTGGCCTCTCTTTCTCCTCTGATCTCCCCTTTTATTGCTTGTTGTTCTCTGTCCTTTTATGGTTGCAAGTCAATAATTTGGTGATGACTTTGATCGATGAAATCTGGTTGTAACAGGTTGAATACTGGATTATTCGGGATTTATTTTGTTTTTCTTAACGTTTTTTCAATGTAGTGGTTGGCTCATTATTAATGACATTTTGTCCCCTCCCCTTTGCTATTGTGACTTGTATGTTCTTGTCTTGAATATAGGAATCACTGTGCCCCACGAGCATGACTTTATCATGGTGAGTCATATAGTTGTTTGATATGGTGATTGTGGTGAACCCATGAATGGGATCAACCAGACCATCATTACATTTTGACACAGAGTTATGATCCACCCAAACATGGCTACCGCCAAATATGGATACATCATCGCCATCCGATATGGTTCACTAAGCATAATGCTTCGGGAAGTCCCTCACCATAGCATTTCCTCCTTGCTTGCAATCATGGATGTTTAGGCTCGGGTTATATTAGGCCTGCAACAAAAATGTAATAATAATATTAATGATATACTAATAATAATATATAATTAATATTTATAATATTTTTTTAATCTCGGTCAAAAACGGATGTCTACACACAATAATGTTCATGTTAACATGTAACACCCTAATTCGATTTGACTCAAAATTCAAAGAATTAAAATGTTATACTGAACCATTTATGTGGCTAATCATTTTTTTAAAAAATACTTAACCAAAATAACATATTATTGTAATAAAGAATATCAACATATATGACGGTTACAAAATATAAGTATTTAAACACGGGGAGTTCCCTTCAACAATCTTAAAAAATACATGAGTAAAAAAAATAGAGTTTACAACTCAAATAAATAAATAAATATCTAGGGTCTATGATACTATGTGTCCTCTACAATATTCGAGACGTACTCTGATAAAAGATCGAGTCTAAAAGATCCAAAATTCGATGATGAGCTCATCGATTGGCACATAAGAACCTGCAAACGAAAACACATTCTATACACTAAGTTCACAAGCTCAATGCGACACAAATAACCCTACTTTACTATATGCATCAAACATATAAGCATGTTACAAGTATGGTCATGAACATTTGTATACACTATAACAACAACAAAAGTAAGCATCATGGTGTAGCTTGGGGTCACTTAGTATCATGAAACTCACACCCCTCTTGCTTATTAAAGAACCTTAGGCGAGACCTAGGTCACACAACATCATCTTCTCTCTATCCTTTAAGCTAGGTCTGGGTCACATAGCATTAGAACTTCGACCGACTAGTCTACTCCTCTAGAGTACTTGGGATATGATTGGGCCACTCAGCATTGACACGACATCCAACTAGCATTTAAAGTGCCCAAGCACTGATTTGGATATATCCGGATAATCCCTTACTCAACTATACAAACGTAGTATTCAAGTAACTCAAGTGTCCTCTATGTTTTCCCAAGCAACAAATAAAGGCATAAATCTTATGGAATCTTACCTCGTAAAGATTTTATGTTATCACACAATTCATTAAGGTTTCCACTTGTAAGCTTATTAGAAGGTTTCCCTCACCAAACCCCTTGATTTCGTCCTTCTAATCCAAGCCTAGCTTATAGCCTAACATTTTCACGATAGTACCGATACTCCTCAGTGGGTATCAGTACTCCCCTCCTATGGTATCGATACTTCCTCCAGTATCGGTACCAAAATTGCATTTGATATTTTGTAAATTACCTGGTATTGATATCCCTATTGGGAGTATCGATACTCTACCATCGGTATCGATACTTTCATGAGTATCGATATCAAAATAGATTACTAGAATCTGATCAAGTCCCCGAGTATCGATACTAGGTCCCGAGTATCGATACCAAAATAGCTTACTAGAATCTGATCAAGTCCCCGAGTATCGATACTAGGTCCCGAGTATCGATACTCATTGATGTGGTATCAATACTCTCTTCACACACTATTTGAATTTTGTCCATTTCACGATAGACATTATCGATATTATTCTTACAGTTTCGATACCCTCTACCTAAAAACTCTATTTCTCCTATAAAAAAACTTCCCAAATCACTTCTAAAGTGTCCCCAAGGCCCCAAATGGTATTTAAGCTTATTTAATGATTAAAGAACATTAAATTCATTACTTTATGCATGAACCACAACAAATTCTTGTTTTATACTTTTAACCCCCAAATACTTCATAAGCTTATACAAGCACCAAAACTTACACCTAGGAGTTGTAGGAACAATCTCAAGTTCACCCAACATCTCTTTATCTTTGTCATTCTTCCTAGAGCTCTCACCCACTTCTCTTACTAGAACAATCAAATGTTTTGAGTTATTAGATCATCCAAAAGGCTCAGGAGAGTCAGAAACACAACTCTAAACATCAAAACGAACTAGAATCCTCATAGGGTTCCCAAAATCATAAACCCCCACTAAACCCTTCCCATAGCCAAAACTCTAAAAGAGGATCTTGATTAGAAGCTTGAGAGACGATGATTCTATTTCTTACCTTAGATTTTCGGAATGGAAAGGAAGGGTTCACGAAGCTATCACATTTGCTCAACAACGAGAAAAAATGAAGAATGACGGTGAATAAGGAGACAAAGGTGGAATGAAAATGAGGCTCACTTTTCCTTGTTTCTTCCCTGGTGACATTACAAAATCGAATGGGATTTCAGCTTTTGAAACATTTAAGGGGGTAATTGCTCTCCTAGTCCTCCTCCTTTCATGCACAAATCAAAAAGACCCTTTTTAAGCTTTGATGGGCTCAAGCCCAAACTATAATAAAACAAGTTTCAACCCAACACTTTTAAATGGCCCCTCTGTAAAATCCACTCGAATTTATTCGAACTACTATTCTGAAAATCGGAGCGGTACACAACTTATTTTATTTTCCTAACATTAAAACTTAAAAAGGAAACATGAAAACAGGTCACATGCGAAACGGCAAAGCGGAGTGAAGTATGCAGGAAAATAGGTCTATTTAATCGCCGAACATTACTATTTCATGGAAATAATAAATATATCTGGAAAAAATACATTTATAATTACCAAAAATGAAAAAAAGAAGCAAACAATGCCATAAGTGATAAATATTATCCCAAGTCAGTGTACTGGAAACATAACACACCATCTAATGCTCCAACGGTTACTGCTACCGCCCCTAACCACCACCTGAACCGACCGTTAGTACGGCCACATGCTATGACCACCACCGACATTCACCGCTATAAGCCTTTCACGTGCTGGATTCTTTATTTTTGCCCCATGGGAACCACAACATGTGGACAGTGCAAGCATATGCTTGATCTGATAATATTATATGAAAATGCAAAAAGAAGGCAATTTTCCAGAACTGGGACACGTTTCAATGAGAAATGGGCTCTCTAGCCCTTCGTCTTCATCTGTTGAAGTTCAATAATCTTGTATTTTTGTGTAATATTTTCTTAAAATATAATATTCAATGTCAATGTCCAAATCATCAAGACTTCATTAAACTTACGAACTAAATTATACTGGCCGGTATTGTATTTCTTTCGTGAATTTTAATGCCCACAGATCAGTAGATAGATGGATTTGAAGATAATGTTGCATGGAAATTGATGGTAATAACTGGACAAGTTACATCTTTTCAGTGTTCACTGAGTTTGTAGTAAAATTGGGAACAATGTCAGTGATTCATTTCCCGAGTTTTTCCTCGACGTTCCATGTATTTTGGTCGTGTCTAAAATCTATCATTAAATATTGGGTAAACTACTCAATTGACCACTTAACTATATGACCTTTTTATTTTTTTACCGATCTTTCAATTTTGTCAATCACACAACTTAACTATTTAATTTGTTCAGTCAAACCACTAGCCGTTAATATTTGATGAAAATACTGACGTGGTAGTTAAAAGAATTGGTATGTTTCTACATTTAGTCCTTAATATTATATATTCTCTCAATTGGATCATAATTTAAATTTAATTTAATAAATTAACCATTCAATTAGGATCTGACACGTGTCAGCACAAGAACATAACACATGTCGTTAGTGAAACATGTCAATACATGATTAGAGTGGTTATTTTATTAATTTAAATTTATTTGATTAAATAATTTTTTTATTCAAACAGAATGTGACACGTGTCACCATTCGATGGGTAGAAAATAAAGGTATGATTTTTTCTTTTAGGTAAAATCAAACCTGGGACCAAAGGTTGGTTAAACAACCCCAACCAGTGCACCAAACATCCCCAATAGTTTGTTTCTTAAAAAAAAATTTATTTATCATTTTAAAGCTTAATAATGGTAAAAGAAAATAGAAATGAAAATAAATTATAATTAATTTTTTTAATATTTGATTCAAGTTAATCTATTAATAAATTAAATACTACCGATTATAAAAATATTTTTTTAAATATTTTACATCAAAATTATTAAAAAATAAAAAAGTATTTAAAAATATTTTTAACAATTTTGATGTAAAATATTAGAAATATTTTTTAAATCAGCAATACTTAATTTATTAATAGATTAACTTGAATCAAATATTAAAAAAATAATTCTAATTTAGTTTTACTTCTATTTTCTTTTACCATTATCAAGATTTAAAAACATAAATACAATTTGTTGTAAGAAATAAACCATTGTGGATGTTTGGTGCAGTGGCTGTAGGGTTGTTTATCCTACATTTAGTCCTAGGTTTGATTTCACCCAAGAGCAAAATCATCCTCTTTATTTTCTACCCAATCGGGTGGTGACACGTGTCACCTCCTGATTGGATAAAAAATTATTTAATTAAATAAATTTAAATTAATAAAAAAACTCCTCTAATCATGTATTGACACATGTCATGTTATTGTGTTGACACATGTTAGATCCTGATTGAATGGTTAATTTATTAAATTAAATTTAAATTATGATCAAATTGAGAGAATATATAAATATTAAGGACTAAATGTAGAAATATACCAATTTTTTTTAACTGCCACATCAGTATTTCCTTAAATATTAACGGCTACTGGTCTGATTGAACATATTAAATAGTTAAATGGTGTGATTGACAAAATTGAAAGATTGGTGGCAAAAGTAAAAGGGCTGCATAGTTGTGGTTAACTGAGTAGTTTACCCTTAAATATTCACATATAACTTTCTAAAATATGTAGTTGATTTCAATCACTCCATCACTGTAAATAAATGATGTACAATGTTATGATGTCATACAAATGACGGGCTTAGGAATTTTCAGACTGCCTGAAGAATTTCACCAGGTTCCTTCTCAGCCAACTTTGGATGTGATCTCGTCACCTTTACCCGGAGCGCTGCCTGAACGTTGCTCGGAATGTAAGACTAGGTTCATGTCGGAGAAAACATGCGGTACGATGTAAGATTCATAGTTAGGTGTTATTTAGTACCTTCTTATCGGAACCAAACTCAATGACATCGGAAGGACAAAGACGAGTGGAAACATTTGGGGGTACCCGAGATCTTCTTCCTCCATGGCTGCTTATACATAGTTTGTTTTAGACAAACTCTAGGAAAATTAACATGCATAAATAAATAGATAAATATTTTCCTTGCTGCTCATCAACTTACTCGATGAAGGTCCCACGCTCGCTCTGCAAATCAACTATGAAGAATGCACCATCTTTATAGATGATTTGAGCATGCATTTGGATACCTGAGATGTATATTTAGGAAAAAGAAAATCAGCATGAATTGTTTCACAAGGAAACTTTGTTAGCACTAGATCCAGGTTCTAAAAAAGTCGAAAATCACCTGCTTTGAAGGTATCACTATTGATGTTTCTGGAAATGTATTGCTCTTTTCATTCCTGTAATGACCATTATGCATCGACTGACATAAATTTCTATTAGAAAAGTCCCTTTCGATTAGCTTCTTACCCCGATTTCCGACACCCGTTTCGCAAAAGTGAACAAAAAGTCCGTTTTAGAGGAACAAAGTCATATACAACAAACATATTATGAGCAAATACATACCCAATCATGAAACTTTTGTTCTCATCCCTACTTAGAAAAGTAGGCTGTGAGGCAATTACTTCGTTTCCAACTGGAAACAAGAACCAGCTGCAAAACAGACGAGATAAGAAATATAAGAGCCTAGGGTCTCACCAAATTATTTCTTGAACTAGGGTGTTTTTTACAGTCTCAAGGGAAAGACGCATGGATTACAATCCGATTTCATTTTTTTCTTGAAATCCATGCGTCTTCAACTTTGTAGAGCAAAAAAAAAATGGTTGGTGGGGGTGAAGACGTGCAATAATCTTGGGATCTTCTCTAAGACACTGTTCCAAACATCTGAGAAATAATTGTTTGAGTGGATTATTTGGGGAATTCTTTTTTTCAAACACAATGTTACAACAATTTCTCCGGTTGAATTGATTATCAGTCTAATCAAATATATATATAATTATTGATATATTCTTGTAAAAATATGTCTTCTTGTTTGTTAATCTTATTATTTAGGGCCTAATTTCAATTTTCAATCATTCAATATTTTGAACTAAACCATCATTTATAGATTATAAATTGATAATTTAACACAAATACGATCATATAATGCGTGTTAGAGCATGTTATCAAAATTTTATATTCATCTTGTATGAAAAGTTTATCTAGTTGATAAATAAACATTTTTATTTAAAAATTTATTTCTAATTATAAATTTAATGTTTTTGTTATTAAACTTTAAAAAATAATACATAATTTTATTTGTTAAGTTTTAGTCATAACGTAAGTAAAATTTATATTATTATTTTTATTATAAATCTAATATTATTTCCTTTGCTTTAGTTTTTTTCTACTATTTTTATTATAAATCTAATATTTTTATTACAAGTAAAATAAGTAAACTTTATTTGTTATTGCTTTCAATCTTACAATAAGATTCTTATTTTTTATATTCCTCTTATGTAACATAAGTAAACTTTTCATTATTTTTATTATAAATCTAATATTTCTATTACAAGAGTCTTGCCCATCTAGCTCAGTTGTTAGAGCACAAGACTATTAACCTTGTGGTCGTAGGATCGAGTCTCACTGAGGGCAATTCATAACGGAGGTCTTCCACGGAAGTTGCTCTCAATGCGTTGGGGGCAGCCTACTATCCTACCTCCCCCTTACCCCATTACATATGAAAATAGGGTCAGCTAATTTTTTTTCCTATTACAAGTAAGATAAGTAAACTTTATTTGTTACTATTTTCAATCTTACAATAAGATTTTTACTTTCGATTCGGGTTAATTTCCGTTCGGATTGCTTTTTAGGTCCGATTAAATTCACTTCGGCTTACTTTCGGATCTAATTAAAATTCGGTTCAGATTTCTTTCGATCTGGGTTAAATTCGGTTCGGGTTGCTTTCGGTTCATGTTACTTTCAGTTCGGGTTAATTTCGGTTCATGTTGCTTTCGGTTTCGCTAAATTTTGGATCGGGTATGGTTCGGATCGGGTGTGGGTCAGGTATCAGATCAAATTTGATTATCATATTCGGGTTAAATCGAATATTGGTTAAATAAATTGGTTCGGATAATCGGATTCTTGTCAAGTTTACCAGGTTTATATATACCTTTAACACTTTGCGCGCAACCAACAACGCGTACATACCTTTATTATTAGCATCACTTAATACATTTTATGAGAAAAAAAATTTGAAGGCAATACTACATACGAACTCTGAGTACTTAGGGACGTAATTGTTTTGCCAACTCTATTAAAGCCAGTAAAAAACGAAAACTTCAATTTATGTTTGAATTTTATATATATATAAGTTCGGATATACTTGGGGACGAAGAGGGACCAGACATTGGATCCGCCCTTGTTTTGGATATGATTACAAGGTTTTGTTTTTAATTAAGAAATGTAAATCCTGTATTATAAAACTACTTCAATTATTATTAGTTTTTAATGAAAAGAGTTCGATTATTATTATTTTGGCAATTACATTGTTCAATTATTGGTCATTGAAGGCAACGATCCACAAAGAGTCAATCCCATAAACATAAATTTCTGTAAATACAAGCAACTAATATTATGAAAATGAGCAAGATAAACAGATAATAAATGCAAAACATTTCAATTTCTCGTATTGTAAAAGGAACAAACATAAGAAAATGCCAAAGTACGAACAATGCGTTATATATAGTCTTAAAAATGTATATAAAGCCTCCTTGTTCTTATTGGTCATTGCTCAAGCATGTAGGATATATTCAGTAACACTCTTTTTTCTCTTCCGGGTGGCTTTTTGGTTGTCTTATTGGTGTGGTTTTATTTGAATATCTGGGATTTCATCGAGTAGTAGGAAAGAAGGAATACGTAGAAAACGATGAAATATCATTGTCTTTGATAGATACAGATTTTAAGCCAGTTAAAAACGTTTAATGCAAAGTTCGTCAACATTCTTAGCCTTTGCATGCAATGATTTGATGCAGTGTTTTGGCATTTTTCAATCTCAATGAACCAACACCGTTCATGAGGCTTGTCTTGGATGCAAACAAATCTTTGTACCCAAGAAAATGGGTAGCTTTCCCAGAAGGATAAATTAACCCCCCCCCCCCCCCCCGCGCCCAAAAAAAGAAAAAAACTGTATAATTTAGCTACAAAGAACAGTAAAAAATGTCAGCTTTCAAACAATTTCTTTAATTTTCTCAATGACCCTTTTGGACATCCTTGCCAGCAAACCAAAATAACCAATATTATTTTGTTCAAAGTTTAGCTCTTTGTAGCACTGTGTAGAGCTAAGCTGAAAGGGTAAGACTCTTGGGTTTTGTTTCTGGTGATTTGAGAGAGTTGATGAAGAAAGGGTCTGTTTCTTTGAGCCATCTGGGTACTTTTCCTAGCCCAGGAGCTTCGGATTACCGCGGTAATGGCGTGTTGGTGAGTCAAAAAGGTTGGAATTCGGAGCGAGTTCCGCGTTCTTCGGTTAACGGTAATGGCGGTAGCAGAAGACATATTAGTGCTTCATCTTTAACACCTTTTTACAGTGGGAGAACGTTGCCTTCGAAATGGGAAGATGCGGAGAGGTGGATTTCTAGCCCCGTTTTGGGTTATGGTGTTAGCAAGAATGTGAACTATCAGCAGCAGAGGGGTCCCAAGTCTAAAAGCGGGCCGATTGTACCTCCGGGGATGGCTTTCAACTTACTTGATGTTGGAGGAAGCGGTGTTCGGAATTTAATGGCGGGGTCTCCTTTTTCAACTGGGGTTCTGATGGCTGATGGGGTTTCCGTTCATTATGTTGGTTGTAGAGCTGCCGTCTCCGCCTCTGCACCCGGCGGCTATGGTGACGGCGACCGGTCTTGTATGGTGGAGAGTGATAGTAATGGGGCTGGACCCGCTATTATACCTGGATGGCCAGATTTGGTTAGTGAGACATCATTGCCAAGCTCTCAAGGTATCATTTGCTTCCCATTTCAACTTAGGCTGCTAATGCTTCATGGGATTTTATCTTCTGATTTGATTATGGAAGCTAAAGAACATTAATTAGGATAATCTAACCCCACAGAAACCAAATTTTAAGATTGAACTTCAAATTGGAAGTAAGATATTTAACAATCAATTCCAGTTCAGTTAAATATGTTATCTGTAATGATTGTGAATGATGAAGTTTCTTAAATATGCATCCGGTAGGGGAACTTTGAAACTAGAGTGCAGAAGAATCATATGCTAGCTTTAGTTATGTTGCTCCGCTATTCATTTCTCTTTTAACTATCTGAGTTCGAGAAACATAGAGCCTTTGCTCGGACCTCTTTAAATGTTAGCCTGAAATTGCATGTCTGTGGCTTGGAACTATTGATGTTGGAACAAATTTCCAGATGAAAAACTCGATGAGATCAAGGATGCCGAAATGATGATCAATCGTGTAGTTTCACGGAGGGATATGGCGACACAAATGAGCCCAGACGAGAGTAGCAAACATTCATCTCCGAGAGAGAGGTCTTCATTTGGCCAGTCACCTCCTCCTATCCTTCCTATTCCTTCCGTGGACAACAATGATCATCCTTCTAAACTGGACATCAGGGAAGTGCAGATAGACAAGCGAGCCACCATTACTGGCTGGTCAAAAAGACATGGATCGCGAAGAATCAAGAAAGGCAAACCAGATTTCGAAGACTTCTACCGAAACAATGCCCCGGCTTCTGCTTTATCCCTGGATATCTCAGAAGCTTCAACAAGCCTTTCAAAGTATGTTTCTAGCATTCTTCCTTAATTTTGGTCCTGCAACATCCAATTAGAAAAGGAAGTTTCACAAATAAACACAATCAATGCATGATATGAATTTTGAATTCCAAAAAATACATGTTCTTTGCTTAATAAAGTGTAGAATGCAATTTTAACTAGCTTCATTAGGGACCAAGATCACTGCTTTTTTCATACAAGATAAGAATTCCAATAACTTCCAATAGTTGGGAGCGCAGAACTTTCCAACAACATTCCTGGAATCCAAACTTGGATGCAATATAGTTTAAATTCTTTCATTCGATGCTAGTCTTTAATGTTACGAGGAAATTTCCACATTGAGTTCCTAGATGGAACTGCATGATTTCATGGGTGAATTAATGCTAATATCCAAAAGAAACTATGGAAGTGGTTGACTGAAATAAAAGCGCCAGAAATACAAAGGAGCTTTTTCTTTAAAAAAATCTTTTCAACTTGATTTTGCAGGCTGCAAAGAGAGGAAGCGAAGATCAGTGCATGGGAGAATTTGCAGAGAGCAAAAGCAGAGGCAGCCATACGAAAACTAGAGGTTCACTTGCACACAGGAACTCTGTTTTTGTCAAATTTCCCCCCTAAATCCAGTAGTTTAAGATCTCTTAAAATCACTTTTCCTGCATTTTCTGTATCTTACAATCAGATGAAATTAGAAAAGAAGAGATCAGCATCGATGGATAAGATCTTGAGAAAGTTGAGAACGTCCCAGATTAAAGCTCAAGAAATGAGAAATTCGATGTCAGGCAAAGAGGATGAACAGACTCCAAAGACTTCAGCAAAGTTTACATTCTTCCATACGCACATGCGTTTTCTCAGCAGTTATTTCTCCTGCCAGGGTTTCTAGTTTTTCTGTAAATTTGATATCATCTCCATGGGCTCAAATCTTTTCCACCGGGTATTATCTAAGCAATGGAGTATTTTGTTTGTTATGCCTGCCGGTTTATCGACTTCCCTACTTTTTCATGTAAAGTATAATAGCATTTTACATTCAATGGTGCAGGAGACTGCAGATTTCAAGCTCGTGTTCTTGGTTAAATGCCCTTTGAGCTATTGAGTATTAAACACGAGGAGATAACCTTCATATGTCAACAATAGAATATTTCCATATATGCTTAACAATTGAAACTTGAAGACATAACATCGAAGTTCCGGGTGAAAAGGGTTTGGTAAAGACGGGTACCACACTGTTAAAAATATTAATTAGACACTTAAATTTGTACACAATGAGAAGTATGGTTCGCTTGTCGTGATCTATAACCAGAATTACTGAATCATATCAGAGTAATAATCGAGATTGTGATCTTCACAGCAATTCCATGGCTTCTTAGTATGGCCGGTACCGCCAGTCTGCTCTCGATGGCCTTGTACTCCCAAAGGCATAACCCCACTGCTAAATATGAAATGCATAATTAGCAAACGGCTAAAGTAACTTGGTTTTTCATACCAGAAAAGTTAAAAGGAACCCTGTTTCAGTCTAAAAAAGATTTAGATTGCCAAAGTTCATCGTTTAAGTTGTTTCCAATATATATGTGTATTTATGTGTTCATACTCGCATCGTCAAAATGCAAGCCTCCCTACATCCTACCAAAGGGGCGCGTCGTACCACCAAAACCTCTAAATGGTCCAACAGGATTCATCATGAAACAAGGGTCAACGTCATCAACAGTTAAATTGAAATTTTAGTCCGTAATTTTAGTCCGTGTGCAACTCCACCAGAAACGATCCACAATTAAGGGAAAATCAATAGAGGAAAATATTTTTTATTAGTTAAATTATCATTTTTATTAATATTTATATGTAGCATGGTATATATCTTCAATATTTATATATTTTATAAATTTAATTTTAATTATAAATATAAATATTTCACAGACAAATAAAAAAAATCTTTTAAAAAAATTAGTCAAATATGTGGTTAACTTAACATGTAATCAGCTTACCGTTAATCTTTAATTAAGTTAATAGATGGGTGAATAAAACACAATAATCGGATAAATATTTAAATATTCAAAGTGATCAGTCAATTTAATAAAATATATTTTTTTATGAAAATTATCACTTACGAATTCGTTTGGTATTGTAGAAATTTTCGTAAATCTCAAAATAAATTCTTACGTATCCTATCGGGCTGAAATGATGGTCCAGGTGATAATCAATTAAGATGAGAGTGGGCCGACCTTTCTTCGACTCTAATCCATTTTTTTTATGTAGAATCCGGAGAAACTACCGTCGGAAGCCAAAATTTGCCGCAGTCGGGAGCCAAATTTGTTTCGCAGGCCAGCCCTGGTTTTGGTGAATATCCCCCCGGGACATTCTGCCTGTAGGCTTGAAATCATCTACCTTCCAACATAATATCAAAATAGTGATATTATCCCCACACATATTGAGTATATATGTGAAAATTCCAGAGGAATAGAACATAAAAACAAAATTGTGCTTTGTCATGCACTTAAAAGATCAACATTGATCCCTAGGGTGGTCAAGCAGGTAAATTGTTAAAAAAAAAAAAAACACTGCTGTGCTGTAACTTGCCTTGGGTGTTGCTCGATCAACTACTACGGTAACACCCCCTAGTTCATGAGTAAAACAAGTATCTCACAGTCGGACATAACAAGAGAGGAGGAAAAGAACCAGTATATATAACTAAGTTGGTAGCCAACTCAAATTAATAACGGCAATGATGTCGTCAAATACCATAAGCCCATCACCGTATTTCAAAGGTAGATCTCAGGGTGGGTTAAGTACACCTCTTTTGGAACAATCAAACCAAGATAAAGATTAAGACGACGACGACTAAGGCCGACGACCCCAACGAACTCGACGAGCCCCGCTCCATTATCATTCGACTATTCCTCAAGATCGTCAAGAACTTAAAAAAATATAAATAAATTTTATTATGTACATATTAGTTTGTAAACACTATTTTTTTAATAAAATTATTATGTTACTTTTTAATTAATTTATTTTTTCAAATTTAATCCGGCGGAACTCATTACGTCGAGGTGATGAGTTTCATAGGGACTGTTTCCCAAGTGACCGTTGTTGTTGTCTGTTAACCAACGGCTATAAACAATTACTTTTAATTAATTAATTTTTTTATTTTTAAGTTTTAATTAAGTTTTAAAAGTCAAATTATTTTTACAATTTAAATAAATAAATGGACTCATCACATCAAAATGATGAATCGCATTAATTACAATAAATTAATGATCCGCATAGAATCTACACATTTTGATTCATTAAAATAATATATCTCATCGAACTCGTAACCTCAAAATATCGAATTCAAACATCACTGTAGCATTTATCATTTTCTCCGAAATAAAAACTCAAGTACCTAAATAAAAAACCCAGGTGCCTGTTGGAAAATAAAAACCTCCCATGCCTCCCCTCCACTTTCTGCTTAAACCAACTCGAGAAAAAGGCCCAGCTTTATGGAAATTGGATTGCCACGTACATGTATGCTTGTTGTGTAAAGACGAATAAATAAATACCACTAACTGAAATGGTAAAGTATCTAGACAGTCTTCCAACTCTTAACGTATTTTGTTTAGGTCACTAAACTAATAAAAATCGATTTAGTCACTAATTTCATAAAAAAATAATATAATTTTGATCACCGACAGTAAAATAGTTAATAGAATTACAAATGTGTCTCGTTTTTATTGACATAAAAACAGTTTTAACTTTCAATGTTTATTTCTTTTATCAGTTTAGACCATATTCTAAATAATTTAATAAATGTAAAAATAATTATTCAATACATTAATGTATAAAAAAAATCATATATGCCGGATAACGTAAACACATGTATCCTTCACCAACGCCCTTTTAAAGCGTCCATTTCCACCAAAAACAAAACTGAATCCAACCAACCCTTTTAATGACTCTATTTGTTTACTATATAAAATACCATTTTTATATTAATTTGAATGCTTCTGGGGATTTCTGCTATCTTTTCTTCATTTATAGCCTCACCTCCCAAGAGCCTCTTCTCCATGCCATTATTTAATATTTTCTCTTCCTATCAATTTCATAAAAATAACTTACTAAATTGCTTCTTATAATAAATTCCAATGATGCTTTGGGAAGTTATATATAAATAATTAAAAACATCTTCATTTTCTTAAAACGAAAAGAAGAAGAAGAAATAATGGCTTAATTATAAAATAAGTGCCCAAACTATAGTGCTTTTAATGAATAGATCCTAAACTATTTTTCGAATGATCTGGTGCCTAACGTTACAAACGTTATCATTTTGGGTCGAGTCGTGAACAATGCTAATTTTCTCCGTTATCTGACACATGTTACAATATGATAATTTTGAAATTAATTTTTCAAAAATAATATTAAAATTATTATTATATTTATAAAAACAATAATTTTTCTTAAATTATAAAAAAACCCTAAAATCCTTAAATCTTAACCCTAACCCATCATCATTGTCCTTTCCAGCCACGGACACCACCGTCGACGTAATCCCTATCATCCTCTTAGTCATACGTCGTTGTAGTTGTCGCTGATGGCCGTCGAAATCGTGTGAGATTAGGTGGAGCTTCGTCGATTCACTGTAAATTGGTCACAATTTCATAGGAATTTTGGTCATCGGGGAGGTGAGATCAAGTGGAGCTTCATCAACGGCAAAGGGTGGCGGCCGGTGTGGGTTTAGGGGTTAAAATGAAGGTTTTCAAAGTTTTGAGATTATTTTTAAATTTTGTATTTTTTAAATATATAATTTTATTTTTTATTTTAAATAAAAAATTTAAAATTAACAAATTATGACACATGTAACTTAACGGGAGAAATTAACGTCGATGACGACTTTGGCACCTAAAGTGGTAACGTTTGTAACATTAAGCGCTGAGATCATTCAAAAAATAATTTAGACACCTATTTGTGAAAATCGCTAAAACTTGAGACTTGTTTTATATTTAAGCCAATAATAATTGTTAATTCGTGTATATTAACAAAGCAAAGAAAATGAATCAAAGAAGATGATAATTCATGTTAGAAGGAAAAGAGGGTAGATGAATAAAATGATTAAAGAAAAGGCTGTGTCAGAGAATGATCGATACAAGAAGTGAGGTGAATCTCGACCTTTACGGGATAAATATATTATGCATGTACCGTGCACAAAAAATATAAATACTGGTTAGGTTACTGTTTTTTATAAGGTATTTGGACAAATATGTTCACTTTATAAGATATTTTTGCATGTTTTGCTGACATAAATGCTCCAATGGTACCATTTTTATCTTAGTTTTTGGGTTGAATTAATGAATATATAACATAAACATAAGGTGGCCAGCAAGATACATGAAGAATCAATATTCAGAACTTATAAACAATGAAATTGTTAGTAACTCATCTCTTATCTAAACCCACATTAGCCATTGCTGCACTTTGAAACCCAACAATGTCCATTTGCATGTTAAAGCCAGCTTGTCCCAAATACTGCACCTGTCTTTGCAAGAATTTGACATAATGAATTGCTTCGTCTAACATCGATGCAGTGTCCATCTTAGTGCCTCCTGGGACAAGTCTTTGCAGTATCCTTATCCGCTCACTGATCCTTTCTCTTCTATGTCTAGCGGCCACGCTCTGGGGATCTTTAGAGATCTTAACGTTCCTTCTCTTCGGAGGCTTGACGGATTCCGGGTCTATACGAATCGGCTGCATTGCTGCTATTCGAAATATCATCTCCCTAGTTGCTTCCATGATGTTTCTCTTATCGACTGAATCGGTGAACTTGTTGCTTGAGGCCAATTTATCGGCTTCTTGGACTGTCATCAATGTCGTATTATGTGAATTAACATTGCTGAAGAAGTCGTTTTCAGCTGGAAACGTCGTGGAAAAGCTCTGGAAAACAGGCTCGGAGAATTGAATGGGAAGCTTTTCCGTTTTCATCATCGTCGTCGTCGTCCTATCCATGACCATGTGACCTTCTGTCGAAGATTTCAGTATATCAACATCCACTGAATATTACACGGGCTTTTAACTATTCCCAATTCTTCAAAAGTTTTACTCTTTCTAAGCGTGCTTTCGTTGGTTGAAGGAAAGATGAGAAAGATGGAGATGATAGATTTCTGAAGATAGAGAATGGCAGAGGGATGTGGCAGCATAGAAAGCTAAGATAATTAGGTTTTTTTTATCAGAGCTATGTAACAGCGTAGATATAAGGAGAGAAAAAAAAGTGTACTTAATCTACTGCAATACAACTAGCTACCATTTCATATAAATATATACAAGTATATAAAAATATTAAAGTATGTTTATACGATAGTTTTTACTAAATATTTTATTCAATATATTAAATTGTTATTAAATAATTGTTGTGACATTATAAATAATCTTAAAATTTAATAAATTTAATAATTATTTTATAACAATTTAATAAAGTTAATGATTAATTATATTATAGTATTTCAATTTACTAATTAAAAAAATTACTTTAATGTAATTCAATAATTTTATATATTTTATCTTCTATGTATCTTATATACTACATTAAGTCGATAAGGATGATATTTTCAAAAACTTTCAAATAGATTCATATTAAAAATTTATGACTCTAAATCGAACTATATAATATAATATAATATAATATAATATTATATAATATTATTTTCAATAACTAATTTTCGGTAGAACTCAAAATTAACATTTTCATTAGAAAAAATAATGTTTTTATAGCGTTTTATTGAAAATGTTAAACATTTTATGTAACACCCAATAATAACATTTTCAGTAAAAAAAATAATGTCTTAGATAACATTTTATCAAAAATATTAAAAAATAATAATATTTCTAATAATATCTCTCTTTAATAATATATTAAAGAGGTTGTACCTGAAATATTCCCGCACACAATTGAGAAAGCTAATAAGAAAGTTCATCCGTGAAAATTCATTTATGATTTAAGAATATTTTATGTTAGATAGTGACGCCCATAATGTGGGGGTTACTGTATTCACTCATAGCAACCATCCGATCTAATGACATCTGAAAGTTGTTAGCCATCACAGATGGGTTAGGCCCACAAATTGGATGGATGGATTGGATTCAAGGAAGTTGTTCAAATCATGTGCATGGACCTCTTTTTTCTTTCATGGGCATCCCCGTTTCAGTACTAGACCTCTTTGCTTTTGCATTGATATATTATATTTTTATTTGACTATTTTGAAAGGTTAGGTTATTGTTTAAACAAAATTTAAAAACGTCATACCCTTATTCGACTAATTTAAATGATTGACCTTCAAACTTTTATGTGAATTGATAATGTTGCAATGAGTCGAGTTGAATTTAAGTATTTTTTTGTACATAAAAGTTTAGATCATGGGTGACTCTCTTAGTTTAGGGTCAGGGCATACTTAAGACTCAATTGATATTTATATAGGACTTTAGAGATTGCCCACCAAGAGTGACAGTGGTGAGATTCGAACTTGGTCTTACAAACTCAAATTTTTGAATCTCAACCACTTGTGCCATCACCCATTGGCCAAGTTAAATTTAAATATTATTGAGTTTGTTTTAACATGAGAAGATTTAATTCGAATTTAAAAAAATTTGAACTCAAAATATTCCTAGACTTAGCTCGATTATAGCTTAAACTCGAATTCGAACTTAATCCTTAAGTATTTAAAATCATTATATTGTATTTAAAAAAACAACATATAAATATTAATGTTATTAATACTTTAATTTAAACAAAATAAAATTTAAATATATTATTTTTTGAAGTTGCACGTAATATTTTTTAGTTGGTTATCAAGTATTTTGCTTCAGCTCATTAGGAAATCGAGTAAAGTTCGAGCTCAAATTGAGTAAAATAAAATTGAGTGTTAACTTTTACCAAATCGAACTCGAGTATCTTATGATCTAACTCGTTTTTGTTGTTGTTGCAAAAGGAAGCACATTGCATTAGCAGTGATTTGTTGTTCCGTGCCATTTACAACCTTATAACTATTCATCAAATACTAGACTTTATTTTTTTTGGCAACACCTTAATTGAGTATTTAGCCATAAGAAGAAGAAAAAACATTTCTAAATTGCAACATTATTAACTTAATTTGAATTCACGACTTGGATAAAGCAAATTTCTAATCCTTAAACTTGATAATTTTATCAATTTAGTTATTGATTTTTTTTATTAAGTTAAAATTTGAATTTATGTTTTTGAGGTATTTTTAGTCATTTTGATAATACATACATTAATAGTGAGCCACATTGAATAATATGGGAGTATCACGTTATCGAAAGGATTAAAATGAGAAAAAGTTGTTAAGGATTAAAGTTGACTAAAACCAAGTTTATTGACTAACATGTGAAATGTTTGACAAATTAGGGACTAAATGTTGATTTATACCAAACAATAACGAAGGAATCAAGCGGTCCAATCTAATCCACCACCTCTGGCTAGCGGCCCGCAGCGTCTTTCTCCATCATCCCATCCGTCGCATGTGCACCATGTCCCCCTATCATATGCTACATTCCAACTAAACACTGTACTTAATGACCCTGATTGAGCCAAGTATGATGGACCCACAAACATCACAATTTCAACGGCTAAAAACAGATCTAAAACCATTAAACCCTAACACAGAGAAGACGACAAACTCCTTCTGATTGGTCCTGGAACCGAAGCACGCTTTAATGGAGGCGGGCATTGATGAAAATCACAGCTGTAAACCAATCACCTCTCTGCTCATCGTTACCCCATTTGTCCCCTTAAACCAACCCCCAAACCTACTTTCACTACACTACTCCATCCCCTTCCTCTTCTTCAACAAAGCTCTGCAACTCGTTATGACAATGGCTTCTCCATGTTCACTTATCGCCAAGCTTCTCTTGCCCCTTTTCATCGCTTACATTGTCTTTTCAATCTCGAAAGTGGAAGCCCAAGTTGAAGAGACGAGCTTGAAGCTGATGGGTGATGCTTTGGAATGGCCGCTTTCAATGTCACTTTACAGTGACTTAAACGACGACGAAGGTGACGAAGAAGAGATAGAGGGTGAAGATGGAAATGGGTATAGTCGTAGATCTTTGTTTTGGAAGAGGATGAAGTATTACATTTCGTACGGCGCGCTTTCGGCTAATAGAATCCCATGTCCACCGAGATCGGGCAGGTCTTACTATACCCACAACTGTTTCCAGGCTCATGGACCGGTTCATCCTTACTCTCGAGGATGTTCAAGGATCACCCGTTGCAGGAGATGAGGTTATTCATTAAGGACTGAACTTTGGATTTTACCTTTTTTGTGTGTTCTTCTTCTTCTTCTTGTCTTAATGTGTGGATTAGCTATATCACTATGACATTGTGGTGTGTAATTTGGTTAAACTACTTTTGAACTTTCTTGTTTGTCGTACCTTTGGAAGCACACTAGATCTTCGCAGGTGGAAGATCATGCAAACTTGATAATGGAATTAGATATTACTAGAATATGAGCTTTTGGGTAATTATTGAATCTGATTTTGGTAATGGGATTTGTATGTTATCGGTATGGTTAACTGTATTGACGGTGCATCTAACATAGCTCTGTTAACTTAATATTTATGAAAAAGTAGTATATTTAAACATGCATTATTGTTTTTAAGGATTAATTGTATCAGTTTGTCTAACCAATGTTTATCATAGGATTCTCACACACACCAATCTATATGGCGATTTTAGTCTTGATTGATTGGTTGGTGGGGGCTTCAGTTACTATAAAGGTTAAGTAATGAGTGATGATAATTGAGCTTTTGAAAAATGATCTTACTTTCCTGTTCTGATTGGTTATGTGATTTGGACATGGAGGACAAACCTAATGATTATGTTTTACGTTGGATATTAGTTTTAAAAAAAATACAAAAAAATATTCGGTAATAACGCATTTCATGCCCAAATAAGAAAATAAATGAGATCAAAATGTTTGTAGAGGGGCCTTATATAAATGGCCGACTTATAAGCTGTGGCTTTCTATAAGTGTTAAATATCTTGTCACTGTTTTCAAAACAAATAAATAGATAAAATATATCATCTTTTATATTAAAGTAATTAAATATTTTTGGTTAAAATAAGTATTTAAAGTTAATTTTTTTGTCAAAATAAGTACTTAAAATATTTATTTTTTCATCTAAGTATCTAAAATATTCTTTAATTAATGTCATGTGTCAATTTTTTTAAAACTTAGAAGAAAAAGTTTGAATAATTTAGGTACCTATTTTGACATAAAATACTTTAGGTCTCTATTTTGACCAAAAAGATAACTCTAGATATTAATTTTATATAAAAAAATACTTTAGGTACTTTAATATAAAAATAAAATACTTTAAGTATTTATTTATGATATAATCCTTTTTAGAATTGTAAATCAAATTAATAAAATGTATAAAACATTAAATACTAAATATATATTCATACTAAGAAAAATTCTACAGCGTACGTCGCATACCATAACATACCACTAAAGTGACACATCACTAGTTAAATTATCTTTATTAAGTAAATGTTAAAAGGATAAATTATACGTTTTGTACCTAAATTATCACTTGTATTTCGTTTTAGTATTTAAGCTTTATTTTTTTTTTCAAATCATTAGCGATAATTCTTATGTGGCATGACAAGTCAATTTTTTTATTTTTTAAAATTATCACATCACCTTTGTCTCTATTTTCAATATTTTTAATTAATTTTATTCAACCAATTAGGTGGTGACATTAGGATAAAAAGATAAATATCATTCTTGCTCCTACTATGAAATGATCTTGAGTCTTACATAAGAAACACATAACTCAACCATTGAGCCAAGTTAGTCATTTGATTAAATTTCACCATATTTTATATTTAACTTATATAACGATATCACCATAAAATCAATATTTTTTTATGATTATAAGATTCAAATATGTGACACTTTAAATTAATCACCGAAAGCTAGTCACTCAACTATAGCATAAATTTTTTTATTATACTGAAATTAATACTTACTTATATCTTTATTAAATTAATAGACTGTTTTTTACTTTATTTAAAATATAAATTAATTAAATAATTTATATATTTTTACAAAAATTATATGAAATAATTATAAAAAGTATATTTATAATATGATTAAAATATTTATTTAATTTTTAAAATCAAATTAATTAATTATTTGAAATAATGTTATTTTTAAATTAACTATTTAATTTTAAATAATTTAAAATTTAGGATAAATTAAACGTTTAGTATCCAATTATCACTTTGTTTCTCTACAATATTATTTAAAATTAATATTCGAAAAATATTGATTTTGTGGTGATACTATATAAATATGAAATATGATAAAATTAACTTAAATGATTAGCTTAATTCAATGGTTGAGTGTCTTGTATTTCATGTAGGAGGCATATGTTCAATTCATGCTAAAAGCAAGTGTATTTTCTTTTATTTTATCCCCATAGTTGGTAATACATGTCACCATTTAATTGGTTGAATAAAATTAATTAAAAAATATTGAAGGAGAAATAGAAAAATGATGTGGATTAAAAAATATAAAAAATTGATATGTCATGCCACATCAATATTGTCGTTAATGGTTTTGAAAAAAATAAAGTTTAGGTACTAAAATGAAATAAAAATGATAGTGTAAGTACTAAAGACATAATTGTTTTAATATTTAATTAGTAAGGGTAATTTATTTAGTGGTGTATTTTGATGTTTTAACAGGTGTTTCAAGAGTCAAGACCTTGTTGTAAGAAACACAAAAGAGAGAAACCTGACAGTAATTGCTGCTTTGCTGTTGTAAGATTCTAAGCTTTTGCGGTCCTGCAATGGTAAGAACCCCCCCCCCCCAAAAGTTTTTATGCATTGTTGTTCATACGTCTTACCTGAGGCTGAGATGACGAAAAGAGCTGAAATGGCTCGAACTGGCCTTGGATCGATTCCAATCCTGATGATGAATTTGAAGAAACTATGTTCGACGGGTTGAGTACGGATTCAGGGGGCATATCAAAAACTATCGGCAGCGAGGTTTCTTGATTTGCCTGCATCAGGCCTGACGCATTCATGGGCCGATAACAGTTTTCGTCGCTGAAATCTATTCCTGTTTGGGAAAACTGGAGTGGTTGCAAAACTCCAGACAAGTACATGGGATGCAGGCTTAATCCATTTCTCATTGAGAGCATCTGATAGAGAATACATGACAAATAAATCAGAAACTGAACTTTTTTTCCCGAAATCTGTCTACTGTCATGGTTACCACTCGTCATATTTTCACTTTTCATTAGCAATTATACATGGACAATAAATAGATTAAGGTTACAAAACAAACATCCAGCAGCAAATAGAAATGAAGTCCACAGTGTTCTTGATTGAAATTATAGTAAAATAAAACCAATGAATAGCTTATGAACTTGTAAGTGAGATTTGGAATGCTTTATTTTCTTTCGACATCTTCGAAATCCTCATTAATTTAGACAGTGGATTCACCCAGAAAGAAAAAGGAAGCTGTAAAATTGTTCGACATACCCGAACTTGAAGCTGAAGGTTCTTCAAGTACTCAATAACTTCATCAAGCATCGAAGCCTTATCTGTCTGCCAATCCCTCATTATATTACCAGAATTAGTAATGCGACAAGGTAGAACACAAAGTAATATGAGAAAGCATGAAGTATACGATCATTATTACATGAATGTCTCAAATTCATATAAATACATAATAACTAGAAAATGAATACCTTGTTAGAATTTGGAACCAGTTTTTGCAATGCTTTCATTTTCTCATTAATCTTGCTCCTTCTCCTCTGTATCTTGCAAGAAAATCAGAACAAATCAATGGTGATGTCCCATTATTCATTATAGATTTAATGTAAAAAACACTGGACAAAACTACTAGCCTTTTCAGAGAAATTATGAACCTCGGCGGCTCTGTTTCTTTTTGAGGAACTACGAGATGGTGCTGCTGGCTTTGGTGGTGTCTCAACCAATGCTTCAAGACCATCCTGCTCATGACAAGTTTCAAACTATCAAGAACAAAAATTTGAATCTTTGTTCAATTTAAATTGTAAAGTGGACAGAAAAACCCATTAAAATAGAAAATTTTGCAAGAGTTAATAACATTAAGAATTAATCTTTGAATGTTCATTAATGTTTAATTCATGTAATCAAATTTTAATTGCTGCATGTAACTATACTTGTTAAGATCTTAGCTTCCTAAACCAAAATGACCCAAATTTCCACCTTTCCTTCAACATTTTCTCAGCAAAAGGAATCGATGAAACCGCTAAACCAGATACTCACCTCACGTTCGCATTCACAATCATCAGTAGTACCATCATCGCCAGCAGCTCCGACGATAGAACCAACGCTCAATCATCAGTGGTTTCAAAATAGTTATTAAATTTTATAAAATTGTTACTAAATATCGAAATTTTACACTTATTATAATTTTATAGTGATCATTTAGTAATGATTTAACGAATTTAATATCTCTTTCCTAACTTTTAAAAGTTAAATGATTGAAACAATCCTCGAACATAGTTTAGAATAAAAAAACATTATCTTATTATAGAATAAAAAACTTACCTTATTTATTAACGATAATCTTTCTAAATTGAATTATTTGTATCACGCGTCTTCAAATTACGATTCTCGGTTTAAATTGATTTTTAAACTTTTAAATTTCAATTTAATCTTTAAATTAGTCATCAAATTTTTAAATATTCCAATTGCTTAGAGTATCCCTGGCTCTCATGTTGGAACTAAAGTCGCTCTACTGTAAAGTGTAGGAGCGAAAACTCAAACTGCATAGAAGAGGTCAGTGAAGGAAAGGCAGAGACAACCGCATGGAAGCAAACTGGAACTAGGCCTTCATCAGGCTCGTAAGCATTAGGAATGCCATCCACAAATTATGACCATCATTCTAAACTGGTCCTCAAACTTTTAGATATTCTAATTTCATTCTCAAATTCATCCAAATAAGTAATTAATTTTAACCATAATTTAACCTATTTTTTTCAAATAAAAAATAATTTTATCAGCATGGGATGTGATTACTGTATACCAATATTCTATTATAGTTTAGAATAAAAACCATTATTCTATTATAGAAGAAAAAAATGCCTTATTTATTAACGACAATCTTTCTAAACTGAGTTATTTGTATCACGGGCCTTCAAATTATGATTCTAAACTACTCATCAAATTTTTAATATCTCAATTGCTTACAATACTCCTAACTTTTTGTAATACCCTAATTTTGTCTGAGATATTAAAAATGAATATTAATTGATCGAAGAAGAATTTTGAGCGTTCAACGTCTGAATTCGATCTGATTCATACTTGGTGGACAAATTGACGTTCAAGATTTTATTTTAAATAGCCACTCCAATTGTAAATATTAACTCATTTGCATGACCCACCAAACCCAAAACTCAAAATAATGTCCAAACTATAGTCCAAGTTTTAAAATTTAAAGCCCAATCCCAATTACACCAATCAGGC